TCTATTAATCTGTGTATCACCCCGAGGCTGTGGCCTACCAGTAGAGTTCCAGCACCTGACTCCTTCGGCAGCTACATGGCATACTCTTTGTCTCTGCCTGCTCTCTTTCCCCATATCTCTGTTTGGATTTCCTGCCCAGCTTTACTTTGCTAAGTCATTGGCCAAAACAGCTTCTTTATTAGTCAGTGGTAACAAAACATATTCACAGCATACAGAGGGGAATTACACATCAAAAACATTAGCAACTGAAGTCAGGATTTTTTATCTAGAGTCTAGAACCTCAGGATAGTTCTTGATTTAGCTGTTTCCACAAATTCCCATGAGTCCTGGAGCAAAGGTTGCTTTCCATAAAGAGCTGCAGGTAATAGGTGAAAATGGCGACGGTCCACACCATCCTACATTAAGCATGTGTGTCTGCTCCCAATGGAGGAGGTGAACCAGAACTTTCTTTTGATCTTCAAAAGCAGCTGAAAGGGCATGCAAGCACATGTCTGTGATTCTAGGATTTGGGAGGAGGAGGAAGGAGGAGGAGGAAGGAGGACCAAGAATTCAAGGTTAGCCTAGGGTACCTAGTGAGCTCAAGGCTAGCCTGGAATTCAGGAGACTCTGTCTCTAGATCAGCCAATTAGACAACCAACTGAACAACCAATATATCAGTGATTATGCCAAGTAAGAAGCAGTGGACTTGGGCAAGGGAATAAAAGGGAAGAAGTACTGGAAGGGGATGCTTATGTTGACATGTTGAAAGCAAGAAGCTCCTGGAAGTAAATTGCCCAACAGTAAACACAAAAGTTGCACAGTGTTGTTACAGGACCCAGCCATGACAAGCTCTATAGAGGCCTGAGTCTCAGTAGTTTACCCTAAGGCAATACCTGGTTCCAAGAAAGTCTATAAACTGAGATCACCCAAGAACAGACTATTCAAAGGAAATTCCTAATATTACAACCATTGTAGATAGGACTGCGTGGCAGCACACATCTGTTGCTTTTTACCAGGACACCCCTAGACAAATGTCAGCCAATCGGGGGTCCTGAACCTTAGAAATCCCTCAGCCCTACCTTTGCTATTATAAAAATCCAACCCCAACTGAGCTTGGGGCTCTCTGATCATGCCAATATGTTGGACACACGGAGAATCCGAGTTCACAAACATCTGTGAACACAGAGCTTGCTAGAGTGATAAAAACAAGGCTATGTTCACTGTTTTGATTTCAGATACACACACACACACACACACACACACACACACACACACACACACGTATGTGTATATATATTTCTTTTTTTGAGGTATAACATGTAGCCCATACTCTGTAGTACAAAACCAGGACTCAAATGCCTTGGATAATTTTGGTTGGGGCATTAGCTCTGTCTGTGAACAGTCCCCTCAGAGAACAGTGGTGATTGAGAGATGCAAGGACTACTGACAGAGGTCAGCAGCTTCTTTTAATTCAGTGGGAGGCTGGGGGGATGGAAAGCCCATCTTTGTAACCGTGGCAACTGGGCCAACACTAAAGCCTCTTTCTGAACTGGGTGCTGATGTCAGAAGAAATCTGAGAGAATCCTGAAGACAAAGTGAATGAGAGATTCGTTATCTGTTCTGGGAAGATGTTCCTTGCTGCGCCAGTAGACCATAGTAGATGGTCCACCTCTTAATTATCTTTATGTGTGTGCACTGGCAAGCAATGGGCTGGAAAGGAGTCTCAATTTGAGGAATAACCTCAAAGGGTTAGCATGAGCATGAAGGAACCTGGGAAACAGTATTACTACAGTATTTTTGAAATAAGAATCAATATTTATCTGAGCATCATTCCGCTAATAGAATAAAAGCTAGAGTTTCCTGGGAGGTCACGAGAAATGAGGAGAGACCCTGGGGTTCATTCTCCAAGGACCAAACACAGGCTCACTCCACATTCCTGACCTGTGATAGCAACATCATTACACTAAGGTCAGTACGAGGAATGAGGAAAACACGATCTCCGCCAGCGGTTTCTATGTGAAGAGGCACCAGGCCAAGGAGGTGCACAGACATTAATCTGGCTGTGGCACTGATGTAATTATAATTATGTGTTCAGCCGCAGAGCCAGGCCAGAAGCTTCTCTTTAGGGAAAAGAGTATGAAGGTAATTAGAATTTTAAAAAAAAAAAGTCAAAAAAAGATATTTTTATTAAAATCACATCAAAATCCTGAATAGAACCAAGTGTCTGCTATTCAAAGCCCCCAAACACCCATACAGCAGATGATGTGGGATTCCCCTTTGTATGCTGTGAATACTATTGGTTAATAAAGAAAACTGTCTTGGGCCTGCACAGGGAATAGAGGTAGGTGGGGAAGACTAAATTCTGGGAGAAAGGAGGCAGAGTCCGAGAGAAGCCAGGGAGCTGCTGCCAGAGACACACACGCTGAAACTTTGCCGGTAAGCCACTGCCATATGGCAATACACAGATGAATGGAGATTGGTTAAATTAGTAAGTAAGAGTTAGCCAATAAGGAGCTAGAGTTAATGGGCCAAGCAGTGATTTAATTAATACAGCTTCTGTGTAATTATTTTGGGGCCAAGCAGCTGGGAACTAAGTAGCGGCCTCCTTACTACAAGCAGAGGCAGCTGAGGAGGGAGGAAGCAGCCACACACATCTGTATAGGGACACTGTCAGCACTGAGCTGCTGGTGCATGGCAGGGTGAGTCCCTTCCGCATCCCTGGCCTGGAAGAGCTCTGAGGTCCATATGTCCTCCAGGACAAGGATCTTCAGAGAGAATTTCACAAGCCCAGAGCATATTTCTTCTCCCTCGACTCTGCTTTCTAGTGTTCCTCTGTTTTTGTTTAATTCTGTGGTTTATCTTCTTGAAGAATGGAGGGAATGCATGAAGCTCTGCTGCCGGTCTGCTGCCTCAGGAAAACTGGCCTCCTGAATCTTTCAGACCAACTGCTTATGCTTGCAGTAGAGTGGACAGAGACAGCAAGCAGAGCAGGTAGTAAGTCATCCTTGTACTTGGTCAGCACAGCACCCACGCCAAGCACATAGTAGGCATGTCACCAATGCTGACTCGAGCCAACTGGCCATTTTATCTAAACATTGCTGCTTTGTGGTCTGTGTTCTGTGTCTGAGTCGGAGCCAGCAGTCATAACACTGATGGGTTTTTGAGCAATCGCCTACTAGTGAAAGCGACTAAATTGCTCAGCGTGGCACAAAATCATCCTGATGGGAGCCTGTGAGAGCTGAGCGTTACGAAGCACTTGCCGAGACATTGTGAGAAACCAAGAAAAGTTACGGAAGTCCCAGATTTTACAAAGTATGGAGATGCCCAGGTAAAAACAAGAGCAGAAGGTCATTTCCATTTTTGTGATAAACAGAGAACACGACTGTTGTGAACAATGAGAATCTACGGAAGAGATCACTCAAGAATCTTAGTCATATTAGTAGTGTCCCACAGAGAAGAACAGACTCCACAGGTAAAATAATTACATGCCTGAAAATGACAGGCGAGTCTTAATTCTCTGCGGATACTACAGCTTTATAGGTCAAAATAATGCTTACACATGATCCTTACAGGCTGTGGTTTATATACATTCCAGGAAGTAAATTTCAATTGAAATTCAAAAAATTACATATAAGGTAGATAAGCAGAGACAAAAAGTGGTTTAAAAGGAGTAACTCTCCTTTACTAGTAAATAGAGCTTCTGAAAGTATTTCGAGCAAAGAAAAGAAAGCTAAGTGAGAAATTCTTGAGAAGCCCCACACACATTCTGTCTCCTCAGAAAAGAAAGTGAGTCAAGGAAGTGACCTGTCTCTAGATCCCTGTGACCAGCTGGTAAGTCAGTCAGCGGCAGAGGAAGAAGATCCTTAGCTGAGGTAGCCGCAGGAAAGAAGTATGGGCAATGCTATTTAGTACCCTAAATTTTCAGAGGAAGAATATCCCTGACAAGAAAATCAGGCAGGCTAGAGCTCCGTAATGCTCGTGTGTATTAAGCCGTCGTAACTCAGAGACAGATGTAAATCTAGGATAGGAGCAGTTTTATAAGCGAGGAGACCCGAGTCTTAGAGTAAATAAGCATTCATCAGAAAAACATTCAGCTGTTTGGAGAAGGACTCAGTTTGTACCTCCCATCACGCTATCCCCACAAAATAAATTCTAGCAGTTGGATCAACCATCTAAATAGAGACAACAGGGTCCTTTCATAAATGAACCAAGATGGAAATAAATGCAGATAAATAATTCACACCCCCTCCGGCCCTCTGGTGCTGAAGGTCAAAGCTAAGGCTGAGAGCTCACTCTATCACTGAACTTCAGCTCTGGCTCCGTAACTTTTATTTTTCAGTGTGGGGGTTTGAACTCAGAGTGTTGTACGTGTTAGGCCAAACCCAGTGAACTACATTCACAGCCCTCTTGAGAGTTTGTTTGCTTATTCATTTATTTAGGTATATAGTTTCCCTAAATTGTCCAAGCAGACCTGAAGCTTTCTACATTTTGCCTTGTGCCTCTCAAGTAGCTGGGATTACTGGCCTGTGCCACATACCTGGCTGCCATTGGCTGATTTTCTATACAAAATGGCAATGAGCTGGTGAGTTCAGATTATGAATAGCATCTAATACGGATTGTTAGGACTCATTCCAAAGTCTTTGCTGACAAATACACCTCAGCTGGTGAACCTTGGGACTCTGGTAAACAAATGAACGAACCTAACATTTGTAATTTCTGGATTAAAAAAAAACAGTATAGAACTTTTAAAAATTAAAAGCGTAAGATGGGGCAGGAGAGAGAGCTCTGTAGTTAGGAGGTGCCGTTCTGCTCTCCCAGAGATCTAAGTTTGCTGTTACTAGCATGCAATTGTCTGCAATTTCAGCTTGGGGAGATCCTGTACTTGTGCCCTCTCTGGGCTCCTGCACACGTGTGGACATACTTGCCCTCACACAGACAGATAATTAAAATCAAATCATTAAAAGATACCATTAAGATAAAGTCACTTTGGTTGCAAGTGGACAGAGCTGGGGACAACTTACCTGCAGCAAATGACAGCTTTGCACGACAGAGCTAAGTCCAGGAAATACTGCCGCACTCCGAAGGTCAAGGCGTATTTGAGGGTCTTCCCGTCAATGATGAGAGCAAAATCGTTTTCCTTCCGAAGGGCATCCCCAAGGGTGGTGCAGTGCCGACTGAGAGTTTCCCTGGTTCCCTGAAACATCAGCCAAGGTTGTCAACATTTATTCTATTTGTTCTACTACAAAGTCTTCCAGATGCAGCTAATCTCCAGTAGTAACTAAATTTAGGTATTTTTAGTGATTTTTTAAAAAATCTTTCAAATTGCCTTCACAAACCTTCATTTACTCAGCTCTCACAACAGCCCCTGGAGGGGGGCAACTGACAAGGTTATCAGTTAAATTCTGTGGAATATATATATATATGCCTGTCCACAGCGGAGCAGGGATGGGACCACAGGCCGCTTAGTCCTCCGTGATTCTGCCATTCACAACTCTCACTACACAATCACAATACCGCTGTAGAGTTTTCAGTAAAGGCCCTTCTCAGGAAAAAGAATAATGCTGATCTAATTTATGAACCAGTCAGTATTGGTTTGCCGCGAACCAAGGGAAAAAGTTGGGGAACCATAATCGAAATAATTTATGAGTGTTCTTTTGAGAATACTCAGTGCTATTGAAATTTAATGCCCAGGAACCTAGAGCAGGAAACACAGGGTTCGTAATCTCCTGGAACTTCATGAACTGGCTTCCGTGGCTTCAATCATGGTTCCATGATGCTGGATTTTAGTGGGGGCGGGCAGAGACATGTAGCTTGGGAATTGTGATGGAGCCAATATAAGGAGCCTTTCCATCAACCAAAAGTTTACTCTTAAGCAGAATAAAACCCTTTAGTAGCAGGGAAAGCTGTACTCATTTAACTCGCAAAAGAACAGGTGTAGGTCCTTCATCAAGGCATTTCCCTCAGAGGGAAAAAGGAAAAAAAAAAGACCAAAACCACCATCACTATCAGCAACAAACAACGTACCACACACACACAAAATCATCATTTTGTATACCCAGTTTTCCTCCCCAGACCCTAAAGACTCTTCTTCTAACATGATGGTTCCGTCCAGTTCCTGTTCTAAAGAGCCCTGGTACTGAAGAAGCACAACGCTCATTCTCCACAAGGAAACAGACATTAAAGTTCTGGCATGAGTGCTAAATCTACAAGTATTTATAGGAATAAAATACAGTCACACATAATAAGCTTGTAGGATACTTTGTGTTCCTTATATTCCAAACAGAGCTAAATGTGCTGGTTTATTTGGATTGTCAACAGCGTCAGCCTAAGCAACACCTGAGTGCGACTGTGACTGTGTTTCCACAGACAAGCAGGTCATGGGCGCTCTGAACTAATAATGGACTCACACCTTGACAGCTTCACAGTGTGGTGGCGCTGCTGGGATGTGGTGAAGCGAGGTGGCGCCTGTCAGAAGTGTCACCAGGTGCGGGGCTGAGGTGCTCTTACCCAGGTCTGTTCCGAGCTCTGCTTGCCCCCTGCTTCCTGCCCACTGTGCTGGTCTGCTACACCCGGCCCACATCATGAACTGAACCCGGGAAACTCTGAGCAAAAGGAACCCTTTCTCATCACTAAGTTGTTCTTATTGGGCATTTGTTCACAGAAAAGTGACTGATACTGTATTTCTCCAATTTAGGGGCGTGGCCCGGTCATTTCATGGTGAGGGAAGCAAGGAGATTAAGATTTCACAATGGAGATATCGGAAGGTGTTTTTGTAGTTGTATTCAAAGGCGGTTCACATTATATCCTAGCATTTTAGAATCTGCTTATCTGAATGACAAACCATGTCATACTGTAGAGTAAGAATGCCCAATATTCCCAGCAGGAAAGTCTTCCAGTTTGACCATTACACGCTACATTACACCGGGGGTGATCACTTGCTCCAAGAGGACTTAAGGAAGTGTAAAAGTCTATAAAATTCTGCCAGGAAAGTTTACAAATGGCAGTCTAAAGCACATGACTCCAGATTGTTTTAAAAGCAAATTCAGAGACTAGGTAGATAAATAAACCAATAAAGGTGTGAAAAATTGGAATCAGAATAAAATGCCTGACCTGTGCTGCACACTGGGCTGTTTTAAGAACTATGTGTTTAGACGAGACATCTACGTTAACAGGAAGTACAGATACTATTCTTGTGTCAGTGTTAGGAGGCAGTGTTCAAGCTCCTTGCTCAAGAATACAGTTACAAAGTAACATCAGCTCAGAACTAAGTTTCTACTCTGGTTTGTCTTTCTCTGCACACCCCCTCAAAAAGAAACCAAACGCCAGAAGCATCAGGTAGCACCAGGAGCAAGTTCAAGGCCACAGTATTCTTTCTCTTGTTTCCCAGAAGCCTTCACTGCCCTTCACCTCACCTGTTCATAAAACAGAGTTAAAGCACAACCATGTCTCTTCTTGTTCTCCCATCTTTCCAGGGCTTCTGGCGATCGGCCCACTAAAATCTATCCCTTTACGGGGTAGCGAATCCATAGTTTGATCCCGAGGAACTTTCTCCAGAGTTCCTTCCACAGGCTTGATTCTTGCAAGTCTCTCCTGCCAAAGAAAGCTGACCTACCAGGCTCCCAAGCTGCCCAGTGCAACTAAGCCTATGTTAACAAAGCCCTCAACTCTTGGGGAGTGTCCAAGGCTGAGGCCCTGCCCACAACATGTACAGAGCCTACAATATCACACACTCAGAAAGACATTTTATTTAATGACAACACTGATCAATAATGACAGCATTCCACTGGCCATTTCTTTAGCGTGCACACACGTGTGAACACACACAAACACAAACACACGACAGACAGAGACAAAGACAGCAGAATTTCAAATAAAGATAAACAGCCTCTCTCTCTCTCTCTCTCTCTCTCTCTCTCTCTCTCTCTCTCTCTGTGTGTGTGTGTGTGTGTGTGTGTGTTTGTGTGCATGAGTGAGGGCGTGTGTGTTGCTTAAGTGACAACTTGAGCTGGAAACCTGAAACAGAACCTACAAAGGACCCCAGGAAGACTTCAGGTCTCTTTGGGGATCAGCTGTAAATGACGAAGAAATCACCCCCAGCACTGTGGAACGCCCATGCTCCCCAGGCTGTGGGAGCAGCCCCTATGCCCTGCTTTCCTTTTCTAAGGTCCTCTCTGACACCTTCAAATTGACTGAAAACTCTCTTATTTGTGGCATCAGTACCTGTGTTTCCTTGGTGACTTATCAAAGACCTTCAGCAAATCAAGAGGTGTCAGGAGATGTAAGAGGCAACATCTCAGGCAGGGTGAAAACGCAGCAGCCCACCTAGGGTGTGAGGTTCCACCAACACCAGCCTGCTAACTCCTGCTATTTTAGTTCACAGTGTCCGTGTACAAGGGGCTCTGCTGGCTGTGTGCTGCTAGTTATGAGTTATATTTTATCCTTATTTACTGTTGGCACTGTTTAAAAAAATTCTCTTTTTATGAAACATTTTCTCCAAGCCTGGGAGCTGTGTTTTATGGCCTCATTGCCCCGAAGCTTATCTCCTGTGGCTATGGATAAATTTATTACTGGATTAGCTGCCGCTCTGGTCTCTCTTTGGCTACTGGAGGGGGAAATGTTTAAACATTTAAACTCAGTGACTTGTGAAAGTGAAAATACGTAAAGAAGAAGTTAAGTTAGAAAAAAGGATCAAAGACTGTATAGGGTGGAACAATCAAAGGTCTGTGCAACGTCCTGCCTGTTGCTATTTGTAAGCTGGATAAAAGGGGGCACAGAGGTGTCCTGAAGCTAAGACAGCTTGTGGAGCCAGACACGGGAACAGAGGAAAGGTCATAGTTCTGGCCAATAAGGAAAAAGTGGGGTTGACAAGGCTGTGATATTTCCTATGGATTCTCCTCTATAGTCCCCTTTTCCTGGATGCCAGTGTCTTGCACAGCCAGTACTTAAGGGAAGCATTCAAGGCCAGTGCTTACAGAAAGTTCTGCCTGACCATCTTGTCCCACCTTCTCCTCTCTGCAACGTCACAACCTTGCTACAACAAACACCATTTCTCAGTGCTGGTTAGGGTTTGTCAAGCTTGATACAAACTAGAGTCACTGGAGAGAGGGACCCTCAGTTGAAGAATGAGCTCCATCAGATTGACCTTTGAACCTGTCTGTCGGTTGGTGCCACTCCTGAAAGATGGTCCTGGGTTGTGTTAAAAAAGCAAGCTGAACAAGCCATAGAGAGTAAGCCAGTAAGCAGAGGTCCTTTGGGGTTCCTGCTTCCAGTCTGAACCAGGAGGTTCAGCTCCTGCTCTGATTTCCCTGGACGATAGACTCTAATCTGTAAGATGTAACAAACGCTTCCCACCCCATGCTGGTTTTGGTCAGTGTTTATCACAGCAATAGATGGCAAACTAGCCTAGGCAGTAAACAGAGGCGTCAATCTCTTCTCCCCAGAGGCTAGCCCACATCCTTTCTTCTTTCCTTCTGTTTAAAACCTGACTCATAAACATCTGTGGGCTTCATTCTCCCCTTAACAGCGTTTCCAGCTCCCATAGCTATTTAAGCCTACATACAAGGTCAAGGTTTTCTTACTCCAAAAACAATGGATAAATAAACTAAACATAATTTCCCAAGATCCTACTTTCTCTAAGTCCTCCAGGTAACAAGAACGCTTCCATCTTTTGGGTCCCCTAAACACTCTGTCTGCATAGGCAACATAGCTGTGACACAGCGTAACTTGCATCTCAGGCTTCTTCCACAGCTGAAGTCTGTGATGAGGAGGCCACAGGGGAGATAACCGTCAGTGACAACAGAACTCCTTGTGGGAAGTTAAAGTGTCTCACTCACTCCTGTGACCCCTGTGGATGCTTCCCTGCTGCCTCTAAACTCTTCAAGAATCTGGGGTACTCTCAATTAGAAGGAAGAAAATGCGACCGTTTCTCCTAATAGAAGAGAAATAAGGCACAAATAATTAATGACAACCCCACATCTACTTCTGCATCAAACAGCATCGACTGCCCAGTGAATGCCAAAAGATACACACCCAGGTTAACTACCTGGTGACCAAGGCAAGGTGTGCAGCTGTAGGCCAAGGGGGAGGAAATGGTACTTTATGTGGTTTATAAGAAACTAAGAGGGGCTGGAGAGATGGCTCAGCGGTTAAGAGTACTGCCTGCCCTTCCAAAGGTCCTGAGTTCAATTCCCAGCA